TAATGGGAAAATGTAAGAAATTCTCTTTAATGTTTGCTCTCATTGCTATTCAATGTTGTTTTGTAGAAACTGGTAAGTATGATGCAACAAATGGAGGAAGGAAGGGAAAGAGAATGAGAATAAATACGCAAAACTGTTACTATTTGAAGATGATACACTTGTGTACTTTGACAATACAAAAGGCAACAGCTTTCCTATAATCAGTGAAACCAATTATAATATGTAATTGATAAGAACTCATCCACAAAAGAAACAATAAGAACAAATAAAATAGTAATTAACTTAATGAGAAATATACAAGCCCTATATAAAGAAAACTATAAAAACTTATTAAAAGTGATAAAAGATGCCCAGAATAAATGGAGAAATCTACCATGTTCCCGAGTGGGAAATATTTTTGTCCTGATATAATAAGGACAAAAATATTTGTCTCAAAGTAATATACAAAGTCAATGCAATCCCAAATTTATTTGTTTTTTGTTCTTTTGTTTTTGTTTTTGAGATAGGGTCTCACTCTGTTGCCCAGGCTGGAGTGCAGCCGCATTATCACAACTCACTGCAACATCAAACTTCTAGGCTCAAGTGAGCCTCCTGCCTCAGCCTCCCAGGTAGCTGGAACTATATGCGTGCACCACCACGCCTGGCCAATTTTTCAAAATTTTTAGCAGAGATGGGGGTCTTGCTATGTTGCTCAGGCTGGTCTGGCCTCAAGCAATCCTCCCGCCTCAGCCTCCTAAACTGCTGGGATTACAGGTGTGAGCCACCATGCCCAGCCCCCCACCCCACTAAATTAATTTCTAAAAGAATTTTTTAACATTTCAATAGATTTAAAGGGTACAAATGTTTTTTCTTACATGGAAGAAATGTATAATGCAGACATTAGGGCTTTTAGCGTACCCATTACCAGAACAGTGTACATTGTACCCAATAGGTAAATTTTTATCCTCACATACTCCTACCCTCTCTCCCCTTCTTAGTTTCCTATGTCAACTACACCTGCAGTCCCCAATCCCTGATCCATGGTCTGTTAGGGACCTGGCTGCAGAGTTCTGCTGCCACACCCCTCCCTGCCACTGCTGCCCCTCCACACCCCTGTAGAAAAATTGTCTTCCATGTAACTTGGGGGAGTGCACAGCGGGAGGTCAACAGTGGGAGAGTGAGTGAAGCTTCATTTACAGCTGCTCCCCCATCCCCTGCATCACTGCCTGAGCTCTGCCTCCCCCACCATCCGTGGAAAAATTGTCTTCCATGAAATTGATCCTTGGTACGAAAAAGGTTGGGGACCACTGCACTACACCACTTTATTACCATATATACCCCTCATTGAGCTCCCACGTATAAGTGAGAGCATGTGGTATTTGGTTTTCCATTCCTGGGATACTTCACTGAGGATAACGGTCTCCAGTTCCATCCAAGGTGCTACAAAAGATGTTATCTCATTCCTTTTTATGGCTGAGTAGTACTCCATGGTGGGTGTGTGTGTGTGTGTGTGTGTGTGTGTGTGTGTGTGTGTGTGTGTATACACCACATTTTCTTTATCCACTCATCAATTGATGGGCACTTAGGTTGATTCCATATCTTTGCAATTGTGAATTGTGCTGCAATAAGCATTTGAGTGCAGGTGTCTTTTTGATAAAAATTATTTCTTTTCCTTTAGGTAGAGACCCAGTAGTGGGATTGCTGGATTGAATGGTAGGTCTACTTTTAGTTCTTTGAGGAATCTCCATACTGTTTTCCATAGAGGTTGTGCTAATTTATATTCTCACCAACAATGTGTAAGCTTTCCCTTTTCACTGCATCCGTGCCACCATCTCTTGCTTTTGGACTTATTAATAAAGGTCATTCTGACAAAGGTAAGGTGGTATCTCATTGTGGTTTTAATTTGCATTTCCCTGTGGATTAGAGAGGTTGAGCATTTTTTCATGTTTTTTGGCCATTTGTATATCTTCTTTTGAAAACATCTATTCATGTCTTTTGCTCACTTTTAATGGGGTCATTTGTTTTATTCTTGCAGATTTGTTTTGAGTTCTTTGTAGATTCTGGGTATTAGTTGACTCTGTCAGATGTACAGTTTGCAAACATTGTCTCTAATTCTGTAGGTTGTCTACTTACTCTGTTATTTCTTTTGCTGTGCAGAAACTTTTTAATTAAGTCCCATTTACTTATTTTTATTCTTGCTGTATTTGCTTTTGAGATCTTAGTCATAAATTCTTTGCCTAAGCCAATGTACAGAAGAGTTTTTCCTGTGTTTTCTTCTAGAATTTTTATGGTTTCAGGTCTTGACATTTAAATCTTTAATCCATCTTGAGTTAATTTTTGTATACAGTGAGAGATAGGGATCCAGTTTCATTCTTCTGCATGTGGCTGTCCAGTTTTCTGAGCACCATTTATTGAATAAGGGTACCCTTTCCCCAGTGTATGCTTTTGTCTGCTTTGTCAAAAATCACTTGGTTGTAGCTATATGGTTTTATTTCTGTGTTATCTATTCTGTTCCATTGATCTATGTGTCTACCTTTTATACCAATACCATTCTGTTTTGGTTACTATGATAGCCTTCTATTAATTTGAAGTCTGGTAATGTGATGCCTCCAGATTTGTTCTTTTTGCTTAGGATTGTTTTGGCTGTTTGGGCTCTTTTTTGATTCCATATGAAATTTAGGATTGTTTTTCTGGTTCTTTGAGAAATAACATTAGTATTTTCACGGGAATTGAATTGAATCTGTAAATCACTTTGGGCAGTATGGACATTTTAACAATAATGATTCTTCCAATCCATGAGCATGAGACATTTTCCCATTTATTTGTCTGCTATGGTTTCTTTCATCAGTGTTTTGTAGTTCTCCTTGTAGAGATCTTTCACCTCCTTGGTTAAGTATATTCTTAGATATTTTATTTTCTTTGTAGCTAATGTAAATGGTACTGAGTTCTTGATTTGACTTTCAGCTTCACTGTTATTAGTGTATAGAAATGCTTCTGATTTGTATACATTAATTTTGTAACCTGAGACTTTACTGTATTTATCAATTATCAATTCTAAGAGTCTTTTGGAGAATGGAAAAACAAGCATCACATGTACTCATCAGCAAATTGGTTTCACTGATCAACACCTAAATGCACATATAAGAATAACATTTATCAGGCGTCGGGCAGATGGGAAGGGGAAGGGGGGCATGGGTATATATATACATACATAATGAGTGTGATGCGCTCCATCTCGGGGATGGACACACTTGAAGCTCTGACTGGGGGTGGAGGGAAGGGCAACATAACCTAAACATTTGTACCCCCATAATATGCAGGAATAAAAAAAAAACTAAGAAAAACACAATGACAGATTTGACCACACACCTCTGCCCCCTTGGCCTCCTCCACCAGACCACAGGGCCCTATCCGCCCTGGGCAGAATCCTTTATCTGTCACCAGGGAGGTTTACTGTTGCCACGCTCTCCAGCGTGCCTTTGAAATATTCCTGTCCCATTGCTCAGAGCTCAAGTTCTGTTTCTAACAGAGATGTCACGATATGCATTTAACTGTGACTTTCTGTAAACTGTGGGCTTCCTTCTCTCCCTATGCATTACACAGAATGGCAGATCATCAGAGGTGCAAGATGCTTATGGATTATCTTACCACACACATTCATTTTACAGCTAAAGGAACCAAAGCCATGATTAATAAAGGGACTTGCCTTAGAACACATGCTCAATTGCTAGCAGACCTGGTTGAATATATACTCTTGATTTCTAAGGCATTGCTCTCTGTTCTTTCCACATTATAACTTCCTGTGGCCTCATCTACAAGTAGGTAATTTCATGCCAGGTAAAGAGGCTGACTAGAAAAAAAATTGGGGCCCAGCAAAGTCATTTTCTAAATCACAGCTGGAGCAGTAGGAATTTAACTATAGTCAAAATATAGATTAGACATGTATTGCTTCAACCCAGCCTCCACCCAGACCTTTACACTATCATTTTAATGAAAGCAGCTGAGAGACAAGGCGAGGTCAAACACAGCACAGACAGATCACGTGCCTCTCTGGTTCTTCCTGAGCTTCCTATTAGCATTTCACCGAGTCTGTGTGTGTTAGGGGGTGGGGATTAGGAATGGAATTTGGGGGTTGGTAATATGTCATGAAATCATAAAGTTGAGCTTTTTTATATTTTCCTAATGAGAGGAAAGTTATTGTAACTATAAACTAAATTTTACTGCCTCAATCATAGTAACCATGAAATAGTCCTCGAACACCTTTCAAGATAGTTGAGAATTACTATTCCAGATGATTTATGTTTATACTTTTCCAAGCACATTTTAAGAAAAAAATATACACAAAAAATCTTGTGAAAGAAAAATGTACACAGGTTAGATAAGCTGACAGCCCATGGGTTACTGAGCAAATATGAATTGGTGCCATATTTCTGAAAAGGTCTAAAATAAAGGAACCCAGGAGACACAATAAAAACTAAAACAAGACCACAACTGCACTACTGACAAGGTTATGAAAAAAACTCCTTGATACAGCTGGATAGATTTAGCAGGTCAGAAGAGAATTCTAGGAGAAAAAAAAAAATACAGCAAGAACAGATGCAACCAAAACAACGATAACAGAAAAGGAAAGCAACAATATCACTCAGCATCGGATGCAAACCAGCAAAGGCTGTGTGGCTTCACCGGCAGCCACAATATTGCGTCCATCCAGCTTCGTGCTAGGTTTGAGCATCACGGCAGAGGCACTTGGCACCAAACAGCTTCTGGCCGGGGATTTTACACTTAGAAATGTAAGACCCAGTAACATTTAAGGAATTCTCTCCTTTGCCAGACAGCCATCCCCTTGCCCTGAAGCCATATGACATACCACTTTGCCTTTTTGTGCGTCTGTTGTCTAAATCAGTGTAGAAACTGGGAGGAGAGACTCTGAATCTTGGCCCTTAGCAAAAGGGTACATTTTAGTATCATAATGACAATCTTGGCAGAACAAGGCATTCTTACTTGAAATGTCTCTGCCATACTGAGAGATGTGTCCACCATCACCTGAGTGTGGCATGACTGAAGGTATTCTCGGTTCTGAATACACAGGCAACTATGTGAAAATTTAAAGAGCAAACTGTTTCTCAGAAATCTCACTTTATGAATGGTTGTCTCTGACCATCTTTCGGTGTTTTGAAAGATTTCGTTTTCATCTGAGTTCTTTGTTTTTTCCATTTTAATTTTATATTACCAAAATATTCCTCTCTAAACCACTACTGTAAAAATTTTGTTCTCTTTATTTAACTGAAAACTGATCAAAGTCAAAATTTATGTGTAGTGTGTGCATGTGTGTGTGTATGTGTAATAGTATCAAAAAGGAACACATTCTTTTTGTCAGAGATGTACATCTTGATCACTGTATCAAAGATATTCTAGAGCATTGCAGATAGGGGTGCAAACAAGAGGCAGTTTTCACCCCTATCTGCAGCCTAGAGATTTTGTAGACACAAATTGCACTTAAGAGCATCAAGGCCCCTGAGCCGGTCGCTAAGGCGCTGCCCAAATCTGTGAGTCTGTGAAGTCTAAATTTCAATTTTGTTTTTTCTAGGTGCCTGACCAGAGGAAATGCTGAAAGCGAATTCCACTCTGTAGCACCTCCTCCTGGGCTGGGAAACACAGTTCATGACTCACTTTCTTGACTGGGAAGACTCAAAGCTGTTGGAAGCAGATGAGTGGTGGTGTTGCTTAAAACTGAGACTAATCTATCTCCCCAAAACCATTTTCCAATTGGGTTATTATCACTCAAATTTTTTCTTGACCACTTCCTGGTAATGACTTCAGTGTCTCCAGTGTATGCCCAAGGCAGGGGGAAGACACTCCCAGTCATTTCCAAAAGCTACTCTGTTTTTCCAACTAAGTTCAATTTCTGTTACTACTACTAACACACACACACACACACACACACACACCCCAGAGACCTTTGGCCACGAGCATTAACTGTTAGGGATCTTCTGCCAACTATTCCTATTTTCCTTAACAACCAAAGGATGATCCCTAGGTACTGCATGGCTATAACGACCCACAATTTATAATATCCACATGCATGAAAACTTTTCCACCGTAGCCATGAAAAAAGAGAAATTTTTAGACATGCACACAAACCTACCCCAAGTTCTCAAAAGTTCAACACTAATGATTTAAGTATTTTTTAAGTGAAAGTCAATTAAGTACCTGAAATCACCAAAAGCAATTAGATTTGCTGCATGAAGGACCAGGATCACATCTCTAAGCAATAGAGCAATCACATCCAAAAAGCAAACACTTTCATTGTTCACTGTAGCACCTAAAGCAGATTCCTAATCTGCTAAGTAAGAGATTGAACTGGAGGATCCTTTAAATGTTGACTATTGGATTTACAAAAATCCCTGACTATTTACCTGTTTAGTACAATGAAACTGAGAGAAACTGGGTAACAAAACTGTCAACAAGGACAGAGAGAAAAGGTTCCTTATGCAACTGTTACTTAAACATGCCATCCTTCATTTAAACTGAAAACCAAGAAAAAAAAATCAAATTTTGTGAAAAAAATTGGGCAAAGTGAACAAGTTTATTATTACTCTTCTTTGCTTCCTCAAAACTTACAATTATAAATGATGTCATTTATAATAGAAAACAAGAACACAGGCTTCCAAAATTTGAAAGTACCCAAATTCTCAACTGGAAGAAAACACATATTTATCCCAAGTAAAAATTCTGTTACATCAACAAGACAAATTTTGACATAGAAAAATACCTGTTTTATTTTAGAAACAAAGTGGGGAGGCAGAAGGGAAAAACTAACTGCAACTAACCAAAAAAGAAAAAAAAAGAAGAAGAAAAAGAAAGAAAAGAAACTCTTCCATATTCATTAAACAGAATGTCTTGTTATTTTCAACAGACAGTAAAAAACTGTTTAACGTCCTCTTTAGTCTCAGGCTACAGAGATGTGTCTCTTCAGTGTGTAGAGTTTACAAACCTAACTAAATTTAGAATTAGTGGGAGTTATGCACTTATAGTCCTTATACATAGGAGAAGAAAAAAAAAGACCCTTTAATGCCAGCTTTGAGTTTGGCTTGATTTTTTATGACTTATTTAGAAGCCCCGGGGAATGAAAAAGTCTCTTAATGGAAATACTGACACGGTCTTAAATATAGTGACATGAACAAGCACTTCTGTGAAGCTCCACCACAACGCGACTGACCACTGTAGCAAGTCTGAAATGCACTGAGTATCAGAAAACCAATTACAATTGATTTGTTGACAGATTCCAGTAGAACAGTCATCCCACAATATAAAGAATGCCTCTATGGAATCAAAATTTCATGTTGGTAAGCTGGTTTTTAACAGGAAAATATGGAATGTGTATGGGATCTTTATTCGTATACATGGAGGAGGGAGAAAATGTAAAATCTCTGCATAGACTTTCTCTTATGCTGACATGTGATTCAAAAATAATCATCCTTATAAAGTCACAGCTTTGGCTCAGGGTTCTTGCCAGTGTGGCAGAAGAGTTTAAATGAGTAGGTCTACATCTGTGCTTTGTTTCTTAAGTCTCATCTACAATAGGTAAATGATAAATGCCATTACTTAGTGAAGTCAAATTTGTTAAAACTCCATTTGGTTTTATTTGTCTATTTGCTATGCTTTTTATTCTTTGGCGGATTTTCTTTAGACTAGCTAAACTTTTCCACTTTTCATCCTTGTATTTCCCTGGAAGTCACTCATTTATTTGAAAATCGATTTGGTTTCATTTTATACTTTCTACATTTTTATTTTGCATCTCTTAAACATTTCATTGTCTTCAGCTTCATTGTGTTTAATTTTTTCCTCTTCCTTTATTTTACATTTTTTCTTCTTTTTAAAAATTTTTTTTAACCAATTTAAACTTATTTAGGATCCTTTTTTTTCTTTTGTCCAGCTCACAGACACAGATCAACATATGTAGATTAAAATGTCTTTTATGATTTAAGGAGCAGACAGACTAAATCACTGAAATGCTCATTCATTTAAGAAACATTTATGGAGCAAATATGTGAAAGACACTGTACTAGGGCTCAGTGAACTATGCAATTAATATAACACCATTTCTGGGGCGCAAGGAGTTCTTAATACATACAAGGCACTGACAATCAGTACTAAGGAAGAGATAGGATGTGGCTGCAATTCAGAAAATAGTTTGCCTATAGTTTGCCTACATCCAAACAAATATGAAATCAGTGTTGCTATCTTTTTAGATACTACAATGATGGTATCTAAACAAGGACAAGGATGTCTGGATCAAACACAACCCTAAAAAATCTGCACAGTTCCTAAACTAAGCTGCCTCATACTTTCGATTTGTTTGTAAGCCCCGTTGTATGAGGCTGCAAGTCTGAGCATTTATGTACGTTTAGGCTTTTTCAGATTCTCACGTGATACCAAATAACAAAGAAAATGGAATGAAAAGCCACCACTGAAGGAGACAGCAAACTGCCCATGTTGCCAATGTTCTCTTTTTTTCTTTCTTTCTTTCTTTCTTTTTTTTTGGTCTGCCATTAATTTCTCAGTTCCTCACAATGGGTGGGTGGGACACTGGGGCAATTTCATTTAAATGTTCCAAGTGAATCCATAAAGAAAATGTAATTTTCGAAAATCAAATTAATCTGAACTTCAGAAATAATCCATGTAAATGTGTTTTGCCATCATCATTACTGACAAATAATTATTAAGAGCCTGTGGCGTTCAGAATAGCGCTTAAGTTTTTATAATTCTACAGTAACCCCAGCATACCCAAAGGTCAGCTTTTGTATAAATCTCATTTAAGAGATTACTGCTTTGAAATAAGTAATTAGGAAAGTTCTCTTTTTAAAAAGGCTATCAGAAAGACAATTGTTCCTTATTCAAAGGAATTAGGAGCAAGTTTTCTCAGATCTGGTTAACCCTAAGGTTATTGATTTAAAGGTGTGGAATAGCAAATAAGCAGGAGGAGGAAGCTTAGAGAAGAGATGATTGTTAAAGCACCATCCTAGAAGCTGTGCTTAATGTTATCAGTTTAGGAGAACAGAATATTCTCTATTTTTTAAATTGGGACTTAAATTTCTGCTATCTGGAAATTTGACTTATGTGAAATACCTCATTCCCAGATGGCCTTTGTTAGGTGAGGTACAAGACAAGAAATTGGATAACCTTTCAAGTATCCTTTAAATGTCACTGGCTGGACTGGTGACAGAGGGTTTTATTATTCTCTGCTGGAGCCCATCAACAGTCATTTGCATGCCAGGAAAAGAATGTCTGGAATAATCCAAAATGGCAAGGCTTAATTCTTTCACTAAAAACAAGAAAGCGACAGCACAGAAAGGGAAATAAAATGAGAAAAAAAAGCATCCAAGGTAGATTTGCTGGTCAACAAGATGCCAAAGAGGAACCTGGCGTGTACGCAGGTGCACGCACGCACTGCGAGTGTACACGCTTAGCAGACATGTGGCCCTCGATGCCGTCCCATCTCGACTGCTCTAAGGCTTTCTCTGAGCTGTCCCCAAATACAAAACCTGAAATCGAGGCAACAGATATATCAAGGGTGATTATCCACCGTTCTCAAAGATCCGTCAAGACATCTCTTGACATCTTTCTTCTGGTTCATTTGAATATGGTCTCATTGACGAGTGGCCTCCCACACAACACAGGGCTCCAGTGGGGCGAACGCAGGGACGGCCTGCATGGAGTGGCTCTTAATAAACACGTCTGTGTTAGAATGCAGGCACGTGGGAGCGCCTCATATACACACGACTGTGTCCCAGAGGAATACTTGTTACATCAGTGTCTAGACCTGAGAGTGCATTTCTCCAAAGAAACTCGCTGTAAATTAAGGTGAAATCCCAGGATGATCCAAAGGTTTATTGAAGTCATGAGCATACCTAGATTTTGCTACTGATACCAGCTTAAATTCTAAAGGGCACAGTGTGCAGAAAGAGAGAAAAAAGATAAAAACAACATTTTCTCTCCTTGAGGGTCATTCTTAGTCAAGAAAAAAGGTTTGGAGATAGCCGTTGACCTTGGTCATCCTCTCAAACTTTCTATGTCTTGGTTCCTCTTTCCTTAGCAGCGAAAATGCCTTGTGCTCTCATCTTGTTCCAATTCTCCAACTGTGGCAGGCCATCCAAACGGACCCTACCTCCCAGACAGAGTCTCCCACGCACCAAATAAATAACTTCTTTTTTTCTCTCCATCAAAGTCTTCATTTCTTCTTGGATATCCATCTCAGTCAAGCCAAGGGGAAGCTAGCCTGATCAATTCACACTAACAGAAGAGACTCTTATCGCCTGGATGTTTTGGCTACACCAGATGTGTCTAATTAAGAGGGACTTTAGACAGTTTAACAAAATGAAGTTTAAACATTCAGCCTCTTGGGAGCAGGATAAATTTATGAATTACACACTGACAGAGCAGTGTGGGCTCAGCAGTGGGCTCAGACAGCAACCGTTTGAAGGTACTGGGCATTTATAAACCGTTCATTTGTGAGCTGTGACAGGGACCTGCCCTCAAGCTGAGCAGAGACGGGAAGTCCACGCGTTTCAGACCAAGACCTGCCTGATGTCCCCTTACTGAGTACACTTCTTAGAAACCTCTCTTCCTTCCTTCAAGGGAGACAGAAATTTAACAGGCTTGGTTTTGAGGGTAAAGTCAAACTAATTCAAGTTAGTTAAGATTCCAGTGAGGACTCACTCTGTAAGGTGGCAAAAATGGTCCCATCTGGAGAATATGAGCCCTGATTCAACAGCAATGGAGATGTCCTTATCCCGACAGTTCAGGGAGCAGAACCCGCTAGGGGCTGGAGGCCTGGATTTCAGTTTGTAATGGGAATTCGGTCCATCAAACACCTGCAAATTACCACTTGTTGATCTAATATGATGAAAATGGATTACAATTTTAATTTAGATGACTTAATTCAACAGATCACACTGACTAAACTTCCTTTGAGTATTACTTAATCGTTCTGATCCATTGTAATGGCATGACTACTGCTGTTAGAGTTGTTTTAATCAATATTTACTGAGAGACTACTCTGCCCTGGCACGATGCCAAAGACTGCAGCTATTACAGAGAAATGATGCCTATATAAAAATCAGTAAAAACATCTTTGTCTTTGCTTTGATGGTTTCTAGTGATAGTTTCAATTAGGATTACTATAATACTTTATAATCCAAAAGGCTTCTCTCTCCTAGAATTTAATAAGAATAAGAGAAATAAAATTCAGCGATACATTATCCTTCCACACACCAACTTTCATTTGGCTTTTTTTTTTT